ACTGGTTTAGTTCTGTGTGATTTGTTACATTGATTTTATTTGGCAAACTGTGCTACATCTGGATGCAAGTGTTGTCCTCATCTGGCTAAACATCGTCGATTAGCACATTAACCTGAACTTCTTCAGTGCGTCAGTAGCACAGGTTTCTCATATTTGTAGATCTTCGAAGTGTTTCAGTTCTGCCTAAAGCTATGAGCTTTGAAATGTGGGTCACTTTTTTTGTGCTGACATTATTTAGCAGTCGGGCTGGATGGAGTGGGTGGAAGTTTGCGCTTACGAGTCTCAGGTCAGAGCTACACTTTTTGGCTGATAGTAAAGCTGCCATGTGTTGGATTTCCCATCCATTTCACAGACAGGTGACAAATTAATCAGCCTTAGTGAGGTGTTGGACCACAGCGAGCATCTAGAACAGCTTCAGTGCTGTTACTCTCTGCAGGCAGAATTAACAACATTCTTCCTAATGATATTACCTCATTTTGGTGTCTCAACGATGGTGATGGAGAGCGCTGTCCGAGACTTCAGTCCAAAAATCTCCCAGGGTGTTCAGTTTGGTCGAGATCTGGTCCCCGCGAAGGCCATAGCATATGATTCACATCATTATCATTCTCATCAAACCACCTGCACTCATTTTATTCAGGTTTTTCCTTTAATTTGTCACCCATCTGTATAGCCAGCTATAGACCTAGCCTAGGTTTGTGTATTAATGTTATTGAATAATACAAAGTACAAATCACATTGGGTGGCACATTTCGCACTTGTGTTTTATGTTTCTGTTGTAGCTGGGTTAAATAGCCTTCTAAGACATTGTGGCTGAACTTAATTTACTTACTTTAGCAGGGCTGAACAATTTTGAAAAAATATGTAATTGCGATGATATTGACTGATATTGCAATTGTCATATATTTGCGATGCTAGGGGGAATTATTATTATTCTCATTTTCATTGAAAAACATATTTAAATGAAGTACAGTGTGATTTTTGCAGGGATTTGCACCAAACAAAGATGTTTTGGAGTCTGTGGAATATGATGTGTAGGCCAGGACATCTCTGCAGCACGACAATATTTAATTTAAAATAGTATTTTGACACACATATATCACCTTTTGACAAATATTGCGCCTCCTTCGATTTGAAAAAGCAGGCGGCCATACTGCTATTACGATCACATTTTGATTAATTGTTCAACCCTATACTTTAGGAGGGAAATTTTTGACAGCAAAGCAGATAGACAGAAGTAAAGTTCAATAAAATGTACAACATAATGAAAGCCATCTTTAGTTCCACCAGTCTTCACATAAGATAATTCAATTACTACATTAGGGTGATCTCATTTTACAAAGCATTGGAGTGTTTCCAAGAGCTTGTAAAACTTTGTGTAAAACATGTGGTACATTTACAGTTTTACTTGACTAAAAGTCAAACCGTCACTGACCTGTCACCCCACGTAACAGTGAGCTTTTGGTTCTCTCTGCTCTGACCTTGACTCTTCTCTCTTGTCATGTCCACAGAGGAGGTTGGCCTACAGTGAATGGTGTAGAACTGGCTCAGAGGATGAGGGTGATGGGGAAAACTGCTAGATGATAGAAGTGACAGCTGTAGTGTAGTGCTGGTGCTTTGTCTGTAGTCTGTAGAGTTCACTTTTGGAAGATTTAAACAAACCAAAGAAAGGCATTTGAGTAATTCATTTATTTGTTTTTATGTATATTAGATTTCAAGTTGTCTATTAAGTTGATGGGTTTTCTTTATTTAAGTGTCTTACTCTTATTATTTCATTCCATCACTTCATGTATATTCATCAGTTGTCATAAAATCCTCTTAATTATAGAGATTGTGTCTATTTTCTTTATTAATGAATGTTTGTATCATTCTTTCATTCACTGCCACTGTTCACTGCCCTGTTCTTCTCAATAAAATGTTCACATTGTAAACTTCTCCATGCCATTTTCTTTGTTCCATCCCATCTTTCCTCACCATCTCACAACATTTTCCAGTTTTGTGAAGATATTCATTCCCTCATTTTGCAGATGGCCACGTCAGCGCGTGCTTATTTACAGCATGCAGTCGTTTTGGAAATGTTTTTAAACACACTTGGCGTGGAACATAGACATCTTGGCATTCAAATTTTAATCCAGACGCAGAGTTGTTTTTTTTTAGCCTCGCTGCTTGTTTAAATATTCACTTACTTTCTCTCTTCCTTCAGAAAATTGAGAATGGACGTTTTGCCAAGTACAGATACTTTGCTCATGCCAAGGTCAATGACTCTGACTTCCTCATGATCACCAAGAGGTGAGTGTTGTTGTAATCTGAAAAACAGCTTTTTTTCTGCTTTCTCATATTCAAGGTATGAATTGTGATTTTGATTTCCTATCATGTTCACAACGCTGTATATTAGATATGATTATTTATTGTCCTTTTCAGGAAATTTGTTTCCACCATCTATACGTACATTATCTAACAAATAAACAACATGAACATACATAACAACCTGCTGTACATTTTATACACAAACTGACACCCAAACCAAAACATACTTTTTTAATTAGCAAGTACTCTTGTTGAGTAGTGTTACGGCAAAAGGGATAAATCTCCTGCTATAGCGAGCCTGTTTCCAGGCCAGGATCTATATCTACGTCCTGATGGTAGCAGAGTGAAAAATGTGTTGAGAGGATGACTGATGTCGTGTACTATTATATGTGCTTTCTGTAAAATGGCTTTCCTGATCAAGTCAGAGAGGTTGGGGGTGGGGAGACCAATTATTTTGGAGGCATTATTTGTGATGCATGTAAATTTATTCTTATTGGTAACAGTGAGTATGTTGAAACAACAGATTGAACAGTAAAGAAAGATGGGTTGAATTATGGTTTTGTAGAGCAGCAGCAGAAGATCTTTCGTCTTTACTGTATGTTTTTAATCAGGTGAAAAGCCTATTACATTTCTGTAAATGGAAAATAATATTTAAGTAAGTGAATAAACTACAGTATCCATTGTATTTTATTTTTCCCAACATCCTGTGTGATGTATCACACATAAGTTTGCCTCTATTTCTAACCACCCACCCGTGTGTCACTCAAACAATACACTGTATCCTTTACCTGTGGAGCTTTCTAACTTTTTACGTAATGTATTTTTTCCAGGGGAATATTTTTCGTGACCAAAGGCACTTTTGGCCAGCTGACCTGTGAATGGCAGTATCTGTTTGAAGAGTTCACCAAGGAACCAATGATTGTGGAGAGCCGCAGACTTCGCATCGAAGCCAAGGTACAAAAGCTAACTCTCACATTTTAAATCCAAAATCAGAAGCTAGCCTTTTCCCCCCTTAATTGTAATTTATTACAGGTCTTCCACAATTATTTAGCCGATTATTGTGCTAAATGACTTGTCTTGTGTGCTGCAGGAGAGAGTAAAGTCTGTCTTCCATGCCAAGGAGTTTGGGAAGATCATAAACTTCAAAACCCCTGAGATAGCCAAGGTAAATTGACGATTTGGACAGTAAGATGTTTTATATATACAGTATATATTCATTTTTTTATTTCTTAATTAGTTCAAGAAATGCCCAACTGTTATCTGCTGTCTGTATAGAATGAAAATGAGCCCATTTACTTCACTCAAACTCGTGTTTCATCGAGTCATGTGTCCAGCCTGCAGTCACAGTGAATCATTGTACTTAAAGTAGTTCTAACTTTGGTTCTGATTTATTTCCAGTGGGTCCTTGCCAAATTGGAGGATGCAAGAGAGAGTTTACCCAAATACTGACTCATCAAATAGAAAACTCACACACACACACACACACACACAAAGTCTGTGTGTGTCAGTGCCTTTGTTCTTTACTGCATGCTACTTTTGTTTACCTCCGTGTGTGAGTAGTGGTAAAACAAACACAAACAATGCTGTATGTTGACTGTTAGTGTGTGTCGGGGGTGAGAGACTGAATGAGTAGTTTGAATGTGTGCATGCCTACAAAAGTGCTATACATGAGTTAACATTGATTCACCACAGAGGCTCAGAATGCATCGAACCAAAACTTTCTTTCACTCTCTTCGCTCTGATTGCACCCATCCTTTTGCACACAGGTAATTTATTTTTAATGATCTCTTTTATGGAAGCTAACGCTAAAGTCTTGAGTTTACAAACACATTTCATCGCCATCTGCTTGGGTCTGAAATGCAGGTGGAGGATTTTCAATTTGCCATACTCAAAACTCACCAAATGAACATTAAGTCACTAATTTCATTCACTTTCATTCAGCATATTTAAAATGTGTTTTCCTGTAGGAGCTACACTGTTACAATGCTACAGTTAGTAACAGACATGGTAGCTCGAATAACATTGATGCCAAATCAACCTAATTGTTGTAGCACATTTCAAAAAGTCAAATTTTGAGTGCAGCTTTATAACACATGTAATTCAAAAATTGGTGTCTTTCACACCTGCTTTCTTTTACTCTCTCTCTCTTACACATTGTTTTTCCTTTTTTTTTTTTATACATTTCTGCAAGATGCAGACTGGTCAGTGTGTGATTTAGAGATGCATGCTATTTTTATACTGTACTTACATGTATCAATCTGCTGTATATTGATCTAATATAGTATCCTATCTGTATATATCCATCCTCGCACAATATTCTGTATTATGGCGTTACAGATTGTAATTTCATGATTTTTATGTTTTTATACCACACATATGCAATGCCAACTATGTTGATGAATTATGCAGAGAGAAGTATATTTAAAAGAAATGAATGCTAATTATAATCAGCTGCTGTTTATGTATATTTCAAAGGTTTGCTGTTGGTTTGGGGTGCATCGCAGTTTAATATGACTAAATATGTCTGTTGCCGGTAATATTTGTCATTTATGTTTTGGGGGAGCAAAACCTTCACTGCAGTGGCTTAATGTTTTTCCCCATAACTGTTTTCAAGAAAATAAAATATGTTTCAGATGTCAGCGTTCTCTGCCTTTATTTCTTGTACCCAGAAAAGATCAAGCACGCAAATTGCACTCTTCATTAAATAACTAGAACTGTTTATTAAAAACTACCATAAATATCGTTTCCATTTCTCCTTGAGTAGCATTTTTCAAAGCACAACTGAGATTATTTACATCTAAAACAATCTCAGTGGATGTGCTGTCTGTCCTGAGTAAATAAGGCACTTGAGGCAAAAGCCAGCACAGGTGGCTCAGTGTTAGAAAAGGAGAAAAAAAACTACACAAATTTAAATATCAAACCACAAAACTCATTGCATGAGCAGAAATTGTATCAATTGAAGCACTTGGATCCAATTTCTTAAAAAGTATTGTAGTAATAAAAAAATAAAATAACTAGCTCACACAAGAGGTCAATGCTATTAACACTAACTTTCACTTCTATTGCAAAGTATCATCTTCTTAAAGTAAATCTCTATAAAGGGTGGAATGGAAACTACAAAACTCAAAAATTGCATTTCAGACACAGCAACCTACAGATACAGTAGTTTGGGTTTAACTCTTACATGTTCATATTCTCTTTGGCTGCATTTTTATAGGCACAATGACGTGAACATTTTAAAACATTTGGATTAGGAGATGAGGATATTTTCAGTGGTTTTGTAAACGGAGGAATTGTAAAGTCTAATTGTTCTCTGTTTAGACAGCAGAGAAAAAGCACTGTCAAGTTGTTTAATGTAATTCTCCTATCTTGGCTCTCCTCATGTCTATCCTTCTACCCTCTTGTTTCCACCTGTCTCCTCCTGTCCTGCACCTCTTTAGACCAGATTGAACTCCTTCAGGTTGTGTCTGAGGATGGTGTCTTTGACGGCCACAAAGACGAAGCGGATGTTTTCTGTGTCTGTGGCGCAGGTAAAGTGAGGGTACAGTGTCTTGTCCTTGTCCGGGTTTTGTTCTTGGTACATCTTCAGGATGAATTCTTGAGCTGCTGTAGGATCCTGCTGCGGTCCTGCAATTCAGGGTTGATATTATTTCAGTGTGTTTTCAGTAAATTCAATTTTGAAATTTGATTTGTACTATTTGTTTGAAGATAAAATATTAGTCGAGCCTGTTCTCTAAAAGATTTACAAATAAAAAAAAGAGTCATGAGAAAACCAGTGTTGGAGGTTAGCTAACTTTTGAATACACATTTCTGCTTCATCTGACACATGCCACTTAGTTGCCAGTTTATTAGGTACAGCTAGCTACAACTAAGACAGTCTAGGACAACTGTTCTGCAAAGAATCCCTCCTCCTGAAGGTTACAATGTTCAGCTCGTGTTTAAACTGTTTTAGAGAGGTGTTACATTTTCTGATCATTATGGAGGGTGTAGATGTTGAATTGTTTTGTGTTTCTGTTATTTAACTCGGTGGTTTTCACAGCGGGGTCCAGCGACAGAATGTATGAATACTTGGGTTGTGGTTTCGTACACTGTAATAAAACATCTAGAAGCAAAAATCCTATCAGATTAGCTTACCATCTTTGATATAAATGGGGTAGACAAACTTATAGAAATGCCTCTCAGTATGCATGGCTGTTGTATTTGACTGCAGTAGTTTTAGCTAGGTGTACCTGAGAAATTTACATGACAAGTTTATCACAAGATCTGTGAATAACACCTCTGGTCTCTCAGTCAGACAGTCCAAACCCAAATCTCTAATATATCTTGCACCATAAGTTTTGTTTTTTCGTCCTTTTCAACCCAAATTCAGTTAAAATGTGCAATGGCAGACCCTATGGGAGATAGACGACAGCCAAACAAACTCACTAACCTGTGAATTCAGGGAAGTAGGTGGCTACATGAGAGTACATGATCTTCTCCTTGAGGATGTCGGTCTTGTTGAGGAAAAGAATGACAGAGGAGCGCTGGAACCAGGGATAGGTTATGATGGTTTTGAACAGGGCCTTGCTCTCCTCCATACGGTTCTGAAATAAAATTGTAGCACAACAAGAGGCAACAATGAAGACACATTTTAAGGGATTAAAGTTTTGAGTGCTGCCGAGCTGATTCTCACCTCGTTGTCGCACTCAGCCAGGACCTGGTCGTACTCACTGAGCGCCACCAGGAAGATGATGGAGGTGACATTCTCAAAGCAGTGGATCCACTTCCTCCTCTCTGACCTCTGACCCCCGACATCCACCATCCTGCCACAACAGCCAATCCCAACAACAACAACAACAGAAAGGGTAGCCAATGCTACGTCACAAGTCACCTGTGCTGCGTACTGTATGGTCAGTTACAATGCGACAAGCTTAAGCCATTACCTCTCATATTCAGTATGTTATGTCTCACCTGAAGATGACATTCTCCATGTCAAAGGGGTATTCTATGATACCGGTGGTTGGTACTCGGACTCTGAGGATATCCTGCAGGTCAGGTATATAAGAGGGTTGTGCAATTCGATCGAGATCGGTGAGATAGCTGAAAAAAAGGAGGAGAAAATAAGCTCAAGGAGAAGAAAAATAAAGGGGAAAAAAAACAGATTTGGGGGGATTTTGTGGCTGTTAAAACACAGACTCATGCATTAACAAGGCCCCTTCCTACCACACAGACCTGCTCCAACACCACAATCCCTCCCGCAACCTCCGCTCCTGTGTCACTAACCTCCTCTCACCTCAAATCAGGACCAAGAATCATAACTGGGGCGACAGAACTTTCACCATTGCAGCCCCCTCCCTATGGAACTCCTTACCCATACACATCCGAGATTGCAGCGACATGGACTCTTTCAAATCACTTATCAAAACCCACAAAAAGTGGTGGAGAAAAACAGTCCTTTATGTCTTTACTTCATGTTGCACTAAAATTAGTCTTAAAGCGTAGGAATCAGCATAAAAAATACCCACCAAGTGCATGTTTTCAATTGTACAGTAAAAGGTCAAATCCCTGCAGGTTGCCAAAGACAAAAACAACAGGAAACAACACTGAGGTCATAACCTACAGCCCTGCCTATTATAATGCAATCCAATACTATATAACACTTACTTATTACTATAAGCATGATAAATTAATTGAGGCTGTGTCAGGGAGGTGTTGAACTGACCTGTTTAATATTTTTTCTGCGGTGTTGAGACATTGCCTTGCGTTATCTTGTCAGGTGTTCCTATTATTTTGCCTACCCTGATATCTTTGGTAACTATTTGGCAGTGCTGAAGAGGGTAGAGTCTGTGTGAATATTAATGAGCAACAAAAAAGTTGCATGTCTGATGCTCACTATTTGGTGGAGTCGGACAGCTGGTATTCCCTGCGTCGGTCGTAGCACTCCTGTATTCCCGCATCTTTCCACAGACTCCTGATGGCGTCCGCAAGGCTTTGATCAAACTCCTCCACCTTGTCCACTTCCACCTCCAGGACTGAGTTTGCATGGCCCTATGTACACATAGACAGACACGGAGACAATTTGAAAACAGTCCATCCACATGTCCCACAACTTCTCTTATTTTGCAGTAACCAATCAAGGAGGGGATTTTTATTTATTTTTTGTTATAAGACACTTTATCACCCTGTTACCTCAAAATGACATTTATATCCTGACATTGTATTGTGTTATGTGAATATAGTAAAAATAAATCGATAAATAAATACAAAGCTTAGGAATATTTCCGTCTCTGTCCATGAACATACTTTTGCAAGATACCATCCAATGTTTTTCATGTTTTATACTATTAACTACAACTCACATGCATTGTACATCCCTGGTGATCCATAAATTATTTTAATTCGATGATGTTAGAAAGACTATGGATCAGTGGAGTTTTAATACAAATTGTAAAGTATGCATATTCATTTGTATTAACAACACTTTATTTATTTATCCTGTAGAGACAAGCTGAGAAAACCAGTTGAAATTGCTGATGTGAGGCTTTACGGCTGTATCTCTTTAGTATATCTGTGCACCATTTTTTGATAGAAATTATAAAAACTGTGAATTATCAATATTCTAAGAGATTTACAATGTACTTAATACTTAATTCCTTACATTTTCGTCCATATCTGTGTGTATGAATATTCGAAATGAAACGTCAGAGCTGAGTTAGTGGTGGGAAAAAGTTGGGTGCATGTTGGGTACGGACAGGTGCTCAACAAAGACAAACATGAATGCACAGAAAGTTGGCAAAAATGAACCTAAACCCCAGAGTCAAAAATAAGTTCTCACTGATGGCAAAAGGACCAGACCCGGTTTGTACCTTGTTCTGGGGATCCGAGAAAGATATACTAAGTGCCTCCATGGCTCGGACCATGACCTGCATGGAAGTGTATATGTTCTGGAAGACCAGTTTGGCGTAGCTCTTCTTGTCCTCATCTGTGTATCCTCCTCCATGAATAATCCTCATTTGTTTGATGAAGGTACTCTTTCCACTCTCTCCAGTACCTGTTGGATACAGTGGGTGTTAAATCCATTAATATATAATTACCTCTTAACATATTATGAATTAAGTTCCAGGTAAACTTCAGTTGAATGTGTGGGGAGACGGGAATGGAGGATGAAGGTTGCAGGGTGCTGATAGATGTTATGACATTGAGTTATGTTAAATTTTGTCTTTGGATTCTAATTAATTAAAGGGATAATGTTGACAGCAAGAGGAGGAGGAAAATTTGTGGATTACAGCTTTTTTTTTAACTGCCAGGATTTTGACGTTATCACATATGACTTAGGTTAAAACATCTGGATCTGGAAGTATTTAAATAAAACTAGCAAAATCCGAAGAGCACCTCCACCAGGTGTGAGGGCATGTGGGAGGGGAACAGAATGCGCAGGAGGCGAGGCTGTGTCCAGCATGTACGCATGAGAGCAGTGGACAAGGTTTTTAATATGCTCCTTGCTCTGTATAGCGCCTTTCTAGTCTTTTCGACCACTCAAAGCGTTTTTACACTACATCTGCATTCACCATTCACACACATTCATACACTGGCGGAACAGCCACCAGGGGCAATTCGAGGTTCAGTATCTTACCCAAGGACATTTCGACACGCGGCCTGGAGGAGCCGGGCAGCCTGGATTGAACCGCCGACCTTCCGATTAACGGGCAACCCGCTCTACCTCCTGAGCCACATGTGTGTTTTATATAGTATAGCCTCAGTTTTCTTTAAGATGCATAGAATAGTGTAATGATTTGTAAGTGAGCGTCCTGGGTTTGCCTAATTGTATAAACTTAATAAGGAAACAATAAACTGGACGAAAAGTCACAAAAAGTTAAATAATTATTTTCATTATTTTTGTCTTTGTCTATTATTTAGTCTTTTATTTGGAACATTTTATAACATAATAATAACCGATCCCTCTCCCTTGCCAAACAGAGAAGAGTTGAATCTCACTGTGTGGTGAAGATGGCAGTGAAGATAACAAAAACAGGGATTTATTCATCTTGTATGGTGCCTAACTAGAGTGAATCATATCAGGTATGGAATTAATCTACAGATGCCACCACTCTATGGATGTCAACTTTTGAGCCATGACAAAGTCCAAAATGTGGCCTGCAAAAAACTACGCAAGACTAGTTTTTAGCCTAGCTGATTGCCATTAATGCATTTTCTATGTTGCAACACTTATCGTAAAATGGCAAATACTGCTGGGAAGATGAAAAAAAATTGTGAACTACCACAGCCACAAGAGGTCCTTGAGGTTATGATGGTCATGACTGTGCACAAAAAATATTAGGCTGAAGAGTCTAGTAGTATATGAGATTAGCTGCAGACAGATATACACATGCACACAACCATTTTCTAAAATGTATTGCTTTATATGTATAATCTTAATCTGCAATCTAGTAACTGAAAGTAATATTGAAAGCTAGAAAAGTATAATACTTCCATATGAAATGTAGTGTAATAGAGGTATGAAGTGCAATAAAATGTAAATACTCCAGTACAAGTAACTCAAAATTGGACTAAAATTTCCCGACGCCCCCCCGAATTAACCATAATTCCTTTCTATTTAAAAGCACACCCATTTTCCTAAACTCTACACACAAATCCTTTCATTTATCATTGCCTACACCATGTGGTCATTGAGAAAACACTAACATTCAATATTGTTCACTCAAGTCAGCACAGGTTGAGCTCAATTAGCACACAGCTACCCAGTTGGAAATACAAACAGCCAAAATTGATAACACACCAATCAGAAGCTTCAAAAGAGAGCTAAAAGGGCCACAGTCAGTTCATTCAGTTTTGTAACAATGGATCTAGAGAGATGTGAAGGAAGAAGTAGAGGACACCAGCGAAGAGGAAAAAGAAGTGTAGGAGATGGAGGAGGAGTAGTGAGGAAGAGGAGGTAGAGGGAGGAGGAGTAGATGGGAGGAGGAGGTGGAGAACGAGAATCTCTATTGGGGAAGATGTCGGTCTGATGAACGTTCTTAAAATCACAGACGACCACTCCGCGAGTAAACGGCAGGCGCTCTACGGAGAGTAACCACGGCAACGGCTTCTGTGCACTACACAGCTGTAGCCTATTTAACTTAAGTTAAAATTATAGGCTACATAACTTTACCTGATAGGCCTACATCTAGTTTTGCAGGGATGCTCTGCCATGTGAATTCCCTCCTGTTGATGTCCTATTTAGTAAACTAATAGATTCTGGAAAGTCACAAACAGCGAGGATCAGTCTCTCTTCGCATACAAAATGTTCAAGACAGTTCAACCCAACAGGGACACTTGCTACTGAACATAGACTGTTTATGCTGCTCCCTGATAAAAGAAAAATGTTTCTGGTGATACCTGTTCAGAAAAAAAAACAAGAGAACAGATTTTTATTTGTTAGCTGTTGCTCAGAAGGTGCCGGTATGATGTTATGATCGTGGCTCTGCACTCTGAAGGTAACTTGTTTTAACAAGCTAGATAAAAGGTAATGCTCTGGCTGTGGCATATAGCTCTGGTTTTATATTTGATTTGATTACATTAATGTTTAAGTTGAGATTCACAAGAAATATTTTATTGCTACTGTATAAAGGGAATTCTGCTGGTAAAAGTGTTTGCAAACCACATGTTAATGCACTTTTATATATTTTGTATATAGCAGTACATTGAAATTAAATGTGCACAATACACTACTTTAGAATTCATTATTCAAGTTTGCACATAACTATGTGATTAATCGCATAGTTTTCTGTGATTAATCGTGATAAAAAAAATTGTATCGTTGCCCAGCACTACTAATTGCCAGTTTTTGTAGTATTATTTTGAATTTATTTCACCAGTGTGTAAGACTGTGTTGTAGTGTGTGTGTTTTTGAGAGCTTGTGTGTTATGTCTAAGGGCAAAGTTTGTTTTTTCAGCAAGATTGAATGGTTTTGAGTGGAGAGTCTCATTTTGACCTAAAAAACACGACGTTTGGGGTTGTTTAGAGTTTCGAGACAAAAAGGCATAATTTCATGAAATGTCTTTAAGCAATCATGAAAAATAAAGTACTTGATTAAACCTACTTTCCACCACTGCTCTACATACATAAATTGGAGCTGACAGTTCAGTAGCAGCTATATTAAAATGGTCATCTGTCTGTTTCTGTGCAGATTGTTACTAAAAGTCAAGTTTAAGCTAATATTAACCTTGTGTTTGAACCTGCCACCTACACTCAGTGGTAAGTCTAATAATAAAATAATTTATAAAAGTGTACCTATAGTGAGTACATGTTTATATTTTGAAAAAGGATTTTGTCACCCACCAAGATTGCCCTTAACAAGAGCAGGGCAATTTTCATTTGAACAGTTATCAGATCAGTGTGTGTGTGTGTGTTTGTACATATAGTAGCTTTCCACTGGCAGTCAAACTAACAGACACACACTCTACTTAAAAGGCCTGTCCACTAACTTAACATTTCATGACAATAAATTCAAAATGCATTAACTCACATGTTCACTGTCTAAGTTTAACACACACATGCACACTCAGACTCTATCGGGTTCCTCTTCAGTTGTTGCAGCACAAGCTCCTAATTTTCTCATTCAGACCACATGATGCTGAACCCATTTGTTTAACAAATGTGTGTTTCTTTCCCACAAGTTGCCATGTGGGTGCCTGCGCCATGCATGTGTGTCTGTGTGTGTGTGTGAGCATACACCTGTATCTGTATTCATGCCTCTCAGCAAAGTGCGTTAATGCTCTGTGATGAGTGGTGTGAGCCTGGTTTCCTTGCTGTTTTGCATGGCATAATGAATGCTTGAGCCTTTACATCTTAGCAAGCAAGGCTTAGACAAATTGTCTGCATTTGAATGCACCTTGTTTACAAGTCAAGTTTCTTGGAGATGAGGGGGGGGGGTTGGACAAGACAGGCAGGTGATCTGGGATGGAGGCAAATCATGATCCTGCACGTCTGCTGTGTTTTACTTGTTCATAGAGAGTGTCAGGTGTCACTTTTGCATCACTGTATACATCCTGGTCTTTGGTCAGATTCATGTAAGATTATTACTTTCATTTTTATTGTGACATGTGTGTTTTTAATTTTGACGTTCCTTTAATCCATCCGTAATTGATGACCAGCTGTCCTTTTCACGCCATGTTGCTGCTGTCTCTCGGTCATGCCGCTTTGGTCTATACAACATAAGGAAAATCAGGCCCTACCTCACTCAGTACGCCCCCCAGCTTCTGGTACAGGCCATGGTTATCTCTCGCCTCGACTATTGCAATGCCCTCCTAGCAGGTCTTCCAGCTTGTGCAGTGAAACCCTTACATATGGCTCAGAACGCAGCAGTGCGTCTGGTTTTTGATCAGCCCAAAGAACTCATGTCACTCCATTACTCTGTGACCCCCACTGGCTCCCCGTGGCCTCCAGAATCAAATTCAAGTCACTAATGCTTGCATACAGAGTGACTACTGGGTCTGCACCCATCTACCTAAACTCCATAATACAAACTTACGTTCCTTCTCTGCCGCTACGCTCCTCCAACGAACGCCGCCTGGCTCTGCCATCCCTTCACACAAAGCAATCTGAGTCCCGGCTATTCTCATCTGTGACACCACGATGGTGGAACACACACACGCCATCAGAGCAGGGGCGTCCCTCTCTAACTTCAAGAAGCTCTTAAAAACTCATCTCTTCCGAGAACACTTCCTCTTGTAACACCTCTAACTCCTAACCTCTAACATGCACTTCCTGTGCTCTTCTTCTTCTATCCCCTTACAATTATCTTGTATTGATTACACTTTCGGCGGCACAGTGTTGCAGTGGTTAGTGCTGTCGTCTCACAGCAAAAAGGTCGTGGGTTCTTGTTTCTGTGTGGAGTTTGCATGTTCTCTCCGGATGCTCCGGCTTCCTCCCACCGTCCAAAGACATGCAGGCTAGGTTGATTGGTGACCCTAAATTGTCCTTAGGTGTGAGTGGTTGTTCGTCTATGTGTGGCCCTGTGATGGACCGGCGACCTGTCCAGGGTGTACCCCGCTTTGCGCCCGATGTCAGCTGGGATTGGCACCAGCCCCCCCGCGACCCTGTATGCAGGATAAGCGGTTGACGATGGATGGATGATTACACTTTTTTTGTTAGCTCTTACTTCCTTCCCTAGGTATTTACCCCATATATGTGATATGAACTATGAGCTCTTACTAGTATGTATTGTCAGTTGTAGATCTGTATTTGATGCTCTGTTGATGCTTGTATGTTGTTCCTCAAATGTAAGTCGCTTTGGATAAAAGCGTCTGCCAAATGTGTAAATTTAATGTAAATTTTATCCAAGACAATTTTATCTTACAGTAGAAAAACAATAGAAGAAACCTTCAACCTTTAACAAACCACAGTCCTATTGAAGATAGACTGGACTTTTCATCCACTAGTTGTTTAACTACAAGCGTTGCTGCTACGAATTCATCCGGTGGATACACTAATCAGATGATATACGTTACCCATATTCCTCAGAGTCAAGATTGTGGTACTAAAACTGAAATTTGATGTAGTTATTTTAGTGGCTCTGACATCAGACATTCATTTTCTTTGGGAGCAGATCTGCCCTGTTCATTAGGATTCCTCTATTTGTTATCATTATTGATTATTCTGTAATTTATTGAATAACAATTGATTAATCAACTTAATTGATAAATCACAATTGATTAAAATCATAGACAAAAACATGTATAACAAGCAAACACCATAAAGTGTTGAATATCAGTATTTTTTACTCTGAAAGGTCTCCCTTATTCCTGAATGACTTATGACATAATGTGTAAATTAAAATTTAAATTGCTTAAAGGGGCACTTTCAGCCTGTACTAAGAAGAACTGTCTGACAGTTTGTGATGAGGGACGCCTTGGTTTGGGCACTGGAAACTGCACATTTTGAATTTTCTACCTCAGATTTGTGAAGTGATCCACTGTTTGGCATCAAGTGTTTGTCCCATTCTGACCATAAAGAAAATCTTAACTACATAATTAACCATCTGGTGTCTTCAATTTACACTCAGGAGCAAAAATCTGCCTTTAAACTTAAAAGAAATAATGATTTGACTTTTATCGTGATAATTATCGATATTGAATGATATGAAATGTTTTTATTGTTATGGCATATTGCCCAGCCCTACAGCCACAGAAGGTGCAACAAATAGATGATATCAAGTTGCATTACAGGGAGTGTAGGGGTCCATTGTTGCTGGAATCTTACTAGGGACTAAAAGTCAGAATATCTTGATATCTGTCTTCTGCTGCATTGCTTTTCACCATTCTTAGTTCCCAACTTTATAAAGTGCAACATGAAATTGATTCACTGAGTAAGATACTGTAACAATGCTAAACACATTGCTTAAATCATTTAAAGTTTAATTAATTCTTTATGCTGCATTTTGGTGGACTGTGTGTATTTCCTCACATTAATCCACGTTTATTTGCCTACATTTGTGTCTTTTATGCACCTCTGCATGTATATGGGTGTGTATGCCTGTGAGTGATGCAGTGTATGGTGTTTTACAGTTTCCCTGAATGCTGACCACAGGTGCCTACACACACACACACACACACACACACACACACAGATAGAGATAGATAGACACAAGACTTTTACACATTCACAGAATAGACACAACTTCACAACTACACACACTTCCTTGTTGGGGAGAGCGGTGCCCTGACGTGCCGTCTGTGTGAATGAATGCGGTGTTAATGTCACCGAGATAAGAACTACTATCTACTATCGATTGTCACACTCTGCCCCCTTACCTTTTTTTTTAACTGAAACTCACATGGCAGGTGAGGCTTCTCAGCAAAATGTAGGGCAGATAAGAAGTCAATAAGCAACATATTGATTTTTTATATTGTATAACCTGTATGGCAGCTATCACACAAAAACAGCCCCTATTATTACATACATTGTGTCGGGCTACTCCGCATGAACATTTATGTTCCACCAGGAGCATTAGGTGGTTTTAAAATAGCAAACCCTTTTCAGTATATTAATTCTGAGGCAAAACATTAAAACAGCTGCATAATAATAACACTAAAACAGAATGGTTTTTAACTTAAGCAACTTATTTAATTTTATATTGAATTGTACATGCCTATTTGCGTAAAATATGCATTATTCCTGCTTTCTTTGCTGTTAATACTTTGTGTTTCCAATGACGTCCAGTAATTGCAGTGAAATTACCGCTGAACTAAATGACCAATACTTGGTCATTTTGCCACACCGACATGTGTGTTTTGTCCTACAGCTTTTTAAGTCCGGTCACTGAATCAACACAAGAGGCAGAATGTGTATGTGTTGTTCTTTCATTTGGCTTCACTCCCACTCGTCCTCTCTAGGGACCTGACTTTGACCACATTAATGAAATCCACTGAGAGCTCTGAGTCACTCTGATTGGGTAAATACATTGTATTATTGCTAAAGTACTTTCCAGATGTCAAAGATAAGAGATCACTCAATAACTTGTAATCACTTATGTCATCAAACAACATAAAGTGCACAGAATTTCTCAGTAGCCCTCACAGTATCCCTGTCATCCTGGGCAGCAGCGAACTGTAGCAGCAATGCATTGTAACAGAATCCATGTAATGCTGAATGTTATGGTCTACTACCTCATCCAGATCTTACCCATCAATTATATGATGGTCATCCACTATACAGGGAGCCGAGGAAAGCATTTTCAAAACATATAACTGGGATTTATTAAGGATTTGTTTCAGCCTTTGACTGGCACCGTCCTTACACTCTCATTTCAGAGACAGCCCTTTCTAAGAGAGCAGTGGAGGGAAGCCTATGGCTCACACCCTGCACAGGGGTGGATTTGCATGACATTTGCAAGAGTTGCACCCGCAGCAGTTAGTTATGGTTTTCAAACACAACCCTCACCGAGGCCTTGACAGTGACTCCTGTCCCAGAAGTACTCCCACAGTGCTGCAGTAAAATGGATTGTGGCCAGAGCACCAACAGAGCTCTTTGGGAGCCTTGTGGCAACACACAGTTTCCACATTTCATTGGACCTGTCAAGTGTTCCCAAGTGAACCCAGAACCCAGTATCATAGTGCTGAAAGAACAAAAGTGGATTCAAGCCTCAAGCCCTTTCTAAGTCAGACCTGCTGAAGTCTCCTTGTGCAAGTAAGTGAACTTACACCAGGAAGTAAGCTGCATATGGCCCCTCCTTCACTGTGGCAGAATCAAGTGAAAAACAAATTTTCTGTGAGCATCTCAACCATGAAGCAGCTGATAACTGACACCTGGACATCATATTCACATTTACCCCTTTACCCCATATGAAGCCGGAGTTTATCGAGGGCGTACATGCAGTAAACAGAGAAATCACCTAACGCGCAGCTCTCTGATAGAACTGGACTGGAAATACTGGAAATGTGCTGTCAGTAGAGAAGAGAGTTGCGGTTTCCACATCCATTTTGACTGGGGCCGATGTCAAAATGCAATATCATATTAAATTGTCAAATCTCTCGCTTCGTGCATTTTCAGTGGGTTACTTCTGTGCCTGATGGGAACTACATAAGTCCAGCAGACAAATTAATCAAGGCTGAAAATTCTCCATAGTGCGCAAAATCGATGGTGCGACTGTTGCGCGCAGCGGCTCAAACCCTGAATGTTCGGCTCTGCACCACATCCGGAGACCAGAAAGAGGAATGAGGAGATAGGATAGGTAGAGAACTGTTAGGTGTGAAACAGATACCCTACCTCCTCAGACTATGCATGACTTTAATCCTTGATGCACAGTCTCATCTATCCAACTTGTAAAACATCTTAAAATAGGCCTACACAGCTTTGGATATCCCTTGTAAAGTGTATGTCTATTCCTAGAATTAAAATACAGTTTAATCGACAGGCTGCTGAATGCTGCTATCCCATGATACCTGCATGCCCAGGTGTGGTTCAGGAAGCAGTGAAGAAATAAAGGGAAATTAAAAGCTGTCATTAGTGACTCCCTCAACTTCCGTCATTGTCACCAGGGGATATGCGCCAAAAAATAACAAAAATGAAAAGTAAGCTTTGAGTTTCATACCATTAATAAGATCCTATTTGCATAGTTTCTAATCAACCCCAGAGTGTCACTTACTACTCTGGGATGAGAGCCACTAACAAAGTGTGAGGAGGGCAACCCAGTCAATCTCCAGGCTCAGTGATGCTCACCCAGCAACAGCAGCTTCAGCTCCCTGCGAGAGTCCTTCTTGTCCCTCCGCAGCTGCTTCTCGATCTCCTCGTTGATCCTCTGGTTCTCTCTGTCCTCCGCCGACACGCAACATCCAGCCATCCTTCAAACTGACCAGCTCACTCCCCAATGAGCCCGCCCCTGCAGCCCGTGAAAGTGTCGAAGGCTTCTGGAGACGTCCGCCCCTATAGTGAAGTCACGAAGATCTCTTCTTCTCCACTCGCCCCACTCCCTCACTTCACAAATTCAAAAGGGAAAAGGCGCAGAGCATCTTTAAAAGTGGCGCCTTGTGCTTCCTCTTAAGGCCAAATGAGAAAAGCAGTTGATTGAGAGGATAGTTTAATAGTTTAACTAATCCCCGGCTTAAACAGAGAATCCTTCGTTTAAAAGGAAAAGTCCAGAGATCTGACCTTCTTTGAAAAGGCGCTGCGGTCCGTCTGAAGCAGGAGCGCAGTTGTTGGACTTTATCCAGCCGGGTAGGGAGGGCGTGGCACTCTGCAAATAGAAAAGGATAAAATGGGAAGTTCACCTCCACAGCAAGCACACTGTGTTGTCTTTCCCGAACAGAGATGCCTGTGACATGATACATAATGAGAACTAAAGAGTAGGTGTGCTGGGTAGCCTATAGGCTTTAACAACAGGGATACAAGCCGTATAAAGAAAATGGCTATAGGCCTTTCTTAAATATGCGCGTGATAACGTGGTTGCCGGCTGCAAGTAGCTTTCCTTAAAACTTTTTATACAGCAGGCATGTATTACACAAAAAGTGTTCAGGACGGGAAACCATCCACAGTTTCGCAGCACCACAGGGAGAGAGGGGAAGTGAAGGATCCTTCTCCAGTGCATCCTCTGACCCTGCCATGTCTCCTCACGGCCATTAGGGGTCAGGAAGGCCCGCTGTGAGTGAATGAATGGGCAGCCTATTTGAATTATACCCTGGAGAAACTTTGCATCTCCAGCTCTTGTCATCATGTAGGAGGACAAAGGTTTTTGAGGAGAACGAAAGCCAGGTATTCACAGTTTTGGTTCATACTGCGAGCTGTAATGTTATAGTATGATAATGCAACTGAGATGCTAACAAGAAAGTTAATACAAGTAGGTTTAATAGCTCAGTGCTCAGTATCATTATTATAAAATGCACATGAGAGAAAACAAATTAAATGGGAGATGGAATGAATAAATTCAAAGCTGATATGCATGATATCAAATGGAAGATCATACAAGATGAAAAAATATGTTGTAATGTACAAAAAGTTTACAACCAAATACTTATTCTAAATGTATGACCCCAGGAATGGCAATTTTCCTCCTCTTTTAGGTTGGTACAAACAAAGTTAGCATCTCTTCTTTGAATTCATGAATGGATAATTAAATAGTGGCTGCGGCCCTGCAGTAAGCAGCAGTCACCTGCTTAAATAAAATACAGCCACACATTCAAACACAGAAAACTGGGAAAAAACTCTACTAATGTGAAATTAGACTGTACTTTAAAAGGGAATCATTAACGTCTCAACAGTTTGACTCAGACAGTTTGTCAAAATGCTGACAAAGAGAAACACTCTTCCTTTGATCTCATTAACACCTTTTAGAGATCTTTGCATCTATGTGTGCGTATGCAGGTCACTATTAAATCTGTATCATTAATACACACTGGGAATGTGAGATTGACGGTACATGTGAATGTGTGTGTGCCCTGACCTTAACCTGTCTGTGTCATTTACACATTAAACTCTAAATTAAGTAACTTTCTTGAGCATTGGGTTATACAAAATAACCACAGGCAGTCTTCAGGCTTCAGTCTGTTTATCCACAATTTTGTCCTCTTTTTGAACAATGTTCTCAACAAATACATTTTTGAGTCCAGTCTACTCCGTATC